GAAGCAAGTTTCTACAAAGCTTTTTGTTTCTATAACCTCTCCTGTATAACATATATTACTTTGCATGTTTAAAAATCAAGAACAAAGATAATTGCTGAAGGATAATACAAAATTATAAATCATTTGCGTCAAATCTGCATTGAAGGTGCTTTGTATTTCATCGTGTCTTTTGTTTCTTTTCTCTGAATCCATATCCTTTCAATTTGATGCAACACTGTAGACATTCAATCATTATGAACTGTAAAAAAAATCTTTCTATTACTTATTTAATGTTATAAAAGACAATAACAAAATCAACTCCAAATGACAAATGTCTGCACAGTGGATTCATTTATTTTCTTGGGTACCAAGTTTTATGCATTCAGGAAAAACTGTACTTTCGTGAATAGTTGATTTCGTGATTTTACCAACCTTTCTATAGAAATTTATATTTTGTTTAACACTCAAATGATTGGTTTAACCTTCACCTGGGATTTAGAAGATTAAAATGACCGTTTCAGACTAAAATTAATTTACTAGTATATTTTTTAATATACCTTACTTAAATTGACAAAAAAAAAAAAAGAAAAAAAAAGAACACAGTGTACGAAATCTTAGTTTCAGCTCCATTATGCAAAATTGACTAAGTATAGGAGAAAGTAGGTATTCATTGTTAGTCCCTTTTAGTCATAAAGCTCATGACGTATTCAGGTATTTTTACATCCTTTGCTTTTAATTTTTGATATTGAGCGTTTTTGATGAAATAATAATATTACTATTTGGGACAGAGAATGTAAATGTGCGACATGATTGATTTCAATTAGCTTTTATAAAGATTATGGTGATTTGTATGAATTTACTATTGTGATAAATTCCGATAATCTCAAATTTGAAATAACTCGTTTAGTTTACCTCTAGAGACTTTCACTGCTATTTACCCATGTTACCAGATCCTCACTTGAGACTTCCAAATTGAAGATTTTTATATGAAATCGCCAATAGATAAAGTGAGTCGAACTATAAGCCAGTAACACCGAAAATAATGTTGATTGTATGTTTTTATATTAAAAAAAAAATATAACTTATTCCAGTTTTGTTTAATACACCAAAATAAGACCAATTTAGAGAACGAACGCCGCTGTGAAATATACTTATGATGCGCACTCAGGTAAACCACTCGTTATTTGGTCATATGTTGTATTTTTTTTTACATCAAAAAAAAGTATTGCTTTCTTGTGTCATATTTAGTGAATAATTGTTTTATGCAGTGAATGAATTCTACATTTCCTATATATATATCATTTATTATAGTTTATCAACACTTGGCGTGTGTTAAGTTTTTCACAAAAATTTGAAATAATTTTAAATAGATATAATAGATGTGGTATGAGTGCCAGCTAGAGTTAATAAACCAGTAAATCAATGCATTCGAATGCGTAAGAATATCGAATTTGTTCGTACTTGAACTTAATTTTAAAACCCCGTTCATAAAGATTGCCTTGTCAACATTTTCATTTATTTACATTTAAACCAAATTACTTAGTTACATAATAATTATTGCTATTGGACAATATCATTTTAAATTAACTTCTTTTCAAAATTGTTCTTTCATAGCACAATGTATACCAATTATTAGACATTTAAGGAAAAAAGCCTGATTATATAATACGCTGATTTAACATTTTTGTTTTTTGCAGGCACGACCCTCTTCGTTCAGGTAAGTCTGTAAATATTTAAAAGTTAAGAAATTATCATCTTGTTTGATCTTAATTACGATTGTTGGTAGCTGTTTTTAATAGTAATCATACGTTATTGCAAAATTATTATTACAATTTTATCACATATACTCAGAAAAAAAGTACAATTCTGATTATTATATATCACTAGAAAAAACCCGCGCGAGCGCAGCTTGAAGACTACTTGAAATGTTTATTTTTATTTTATTTATGCCCCATAACTAACATTTTTCCTGTTTTTGCTATGTTCTAAATTTGAAGTAATTTTATTGAAAATTGTTAACATTTATATGCCAGTCAGTTAATTGGTCAGTAATTAAGGTAATCCTTTAGTGTAACTGAAAAGATAAGCAAATAAATAAAATCACGGTTCTGATACCTTTGGTACATAAATAACTTTCTGTGTTGGTGTTATTCTTTCTGGTAGCTTTGGTGAATATTCACCAAGACCGCATTCCTGTTGGAGGATGAGAGGGGGTGTTCCCAAACTAAACAAAGCATTACCCAGATAAATAAGATGATGAGTGTGTGTATGTGTGTGTGTGTGTGTGTATGTGTGTGTGTATGTGTGTGTGTTGGAGGGGAGGGTAGGGGGGCGGTGGCCAACCTGCACAATGACGATAATCTGTTTTGAATTCTGAGTCCGGAGCTATTTTCTGACTTAGTCTGGCCGATAGTATAAAGATTGCTCCGGACTCAGAATGCAAAAAGAATTACTAAGTACATAATTCATAACTCTGAGGGTACATTTCCAAACGACCGCCCTTCTCATCTTATAAATTTTGCATATTGCAAGTTTAGTTTTAGTTCTACTTTTCAATTCTAGAATATACCTTTTTCGGATAAATATTTTTCTTTGTTGGTACCTTTTGCATAATTAAAAAAAGATACAAAACCATTTCCGCCTGCATATAAAACGTAGACGCTAAAGAACCAGCTAGGGAGTTTTGTTTGGGGTTAAATCTATTAAGTTACGTTAATCAAAGCAATTACTATATAAAGGTATAAAGTATATCACACACACTAACCATTTATTATTATATGATACTTCAGACGATCGTCTGCTCGGAGACAAACCGGCTAAAACATTTTGGTCTAGTTAAGATTTTTTTAATTTTTTTTCAAAATTCATTCTCTGTCCACTTTATTGAATGTGTTCCAGCAAACGAAGAATGAATAATGACGTAAAATCCTTTACAGTCATATGATCAAATATATTAACTGAAATAAAGACGAAAGACATTGCAGATGATTTAGGACTAGATCCAGTAATACTAATTACAAATAACCGTACATGCTTTCTGTTTTTTTTTTATGACAATAAAAAAGCATTACGCATGTTACAGAAACAACTAAAAAGTGAGCAAAAGAACCCCCACAAATACAATTTTGAGAAAAACAAAAGTGATTTGGAAAGAACCTTGCAAAAAAATGTTATTTTCATGATTTGTTTAAAATTTAGAAAAATAGATGCTATTTGAATAACCTTATTTTCAAAAATCTCACGTGCATTTTACGTGAAAATAAACTTTCACATGAAACTAACGTGAGTTTCAGAAAAGATACACGTGAAATTCATGTGAGTTTCACAAAAGATACACGTGAAACACACATGAACTAATTACACGCGAGTTTTACGTAACGACTCGTTTGATGCGAACTTAACGCAAATTTCACGAGAGATTCACATGCATTTTAGATTCACGTGAAATCTATGGGAGTGAACAATCACTGTGTAGCAGGAATTTTGATTAAAGAAAAAAAAGAAAAAGAAATAGCAATTGTTTTTTTTTTAAGTTAAATATTCTCTTTAAAAGCTAAATTCCGAAAATAGAATGTAATCAACTTTCGTTTTCTACTTTCTTATACAAATAATTCAAATGAAAATCGGTCATTGACTGTTTATTTCTGTATAAAAAAAATATGCATTTCGAAACTAGATAGATCTCTAAGAGACTTTTTTTGTCGACGATTTTTAGATTTCTTCGACCGAAAATGAATTTTGTATTTGTTGTATGCAATTTATGGGTGGGTTTGTTTAGAAAATAATGATATTGTTCAGATCGCTTGAACATATGAATATACACAAAACATTTACTTATAACGATTTGGAGTGCGCTGTATTAACGCACTTTACCTGCTTTAAGAAAAAATGAAAGTTTGATATATTTGTAAAATTATACAGTTTGTATAATGTCTAATCTGGCGTATGTGGGATTTTGTTTCTATCGTATAGTCAAAAAAGATTTCATTTACTATTTAGATACTAGTAGATGGTAAACAACAGCATTGAATTATATTTCATTCAATTGACAGGTCAATATTAAACACAAATTTTACCTTTTTAACGTTATTTAGACGTACAAAAAGTATGAAAGAAGCTAGTCCTTAAAAATATTTGATCAAATGATCTCTTTACATTAAACATATTTTTTTTTGGGTTGCAGTTAAAAGAAATATAACAAGAGAGAGAGAGAAAGGAAAAGCAGTGACTATATAATATCGGTGTGTATCTGATTTATTGTATGAACTATTATATTGATAACATCACCTTACGGTGATCAATGATAATTACATAATGGTTTGAACAATACCGTCATATATCTGTCAGATCTTTTTTTATGGGATTTAAAAGGAATTCATTAGTGAATAAACTAGACCAATTCACTCACAAAAAAACAGAAGTCCTTTCACTTTTACGCTATGCTTATGGGTGATTTGTTCCAGTTTATACACCAACAAATCATTTAAACTCCGTTACAAAACACCATAAATATTTCTGATTAGGAAAATGAAGGACACGGAAAGAGGTTTTTCTTTGATGGATGATATACTTTTCGGTATATTCGTTGTAGAAACACGTGGGTCTTGGCAAAGTAATATTCATTTTTACTCGAAACATGTAATTTGTATCTACAAAATAGCGACTGTATGAGTGTAACAATTAGAAGAACTCTCACTCTGATATCTGATACATATACATGAATGGTATATTAAACAGATTTTCTGGAAATCGCAATTACTAGTCTCACATTTTTGTCTAATCATCAAAAATCACAATCATCAATGCACACATTGATTTCTCAATATACAGTAGTAACAGCTGAAGGGCTCTCTATTTGTTTGATATTTTGTTAAATCGATTATAAATCCAATATTTTCGAGAAAATCGTAATATTACTAAATTGACCACAGTTAATAAGTCTTATAATTGACTGATAATCTGAATAGGACTGATATTTATTGTTCAGACTTTTCATATCCTTTTAAGGTCCTTATGATAATTTCAGACAAAGGAAGGTAGAAAACTAAATCTAAGGGAATCGCATAAACTCAAAAAGGAGCAGGATCGGTTGCGTCGAAAGAGTAAGCATGAACATTATAATTTTCATTCAGATATACAATGATGTGTTAGTGTTAGAATTATGTCGTCAGATATTTGAATCAAAACCCTTTTTCTCGGTACATTTATTCGTGACGGTGACTTTCCAACTTAACCTGTGTCGATTGCAGGACGATTCATTACTCTGTTGGAACATCATTTGTACATGGAGCAAATTCTTGCCCGTAAAATTCAAATTATTTCCAAAAGAACAAGCGTAGCGTATCAATTCACTAAATAATTCAAAATTTGGTGACTATGTTGAACGAATCTATCCCATCGAACTAGAGGTAAAGGATACAACAGATACAGTTAAGTCTGCCTCATATCTTGACTTACATCTAGAAATTAACAATGAGGGCCGGTTGAAAACAAAACTTTACTACAAGAGAAAAGATTACAGCTTCCCAATTGTGAACCTTCAATTTCTATGTAGCAACATTCCAGCAGCGCCTGCATACGGAGTATATATCTCTTAATTGATACGATATTCCCGTGCTTGTATTTCCTATCATGATTTCCTCGATAGAGGGTTGCTGCTCACAAGGAAGCTATTTAACCAAGAGTTCCAAATAGTGAAGTTGAAATCATCCCTTCGTAAATTTTACGGACGCCATCACGAGTTGGTTGATCGTTATGGAATAACCGTTTCACAGATGATATCGGATGTGTTCCTTATGTCGTAACTACAATCCACTTCCCTTTTTAACACGAATGTGACCTACCGACTAGACTATTAACCGGGTTTGTAATAACATGAGAAACACGACGGGTGCCACATGTGGAGCAGGATCTGCTTACCCTTCCGGAGCACCTGAGATCACCCCCATTTTTTGGTGGGATTTGTTTTCCTTAGTTTTTAGTTTTTCTATGTTATAACTTTTGTGCTATTGTCTGTCTTTTTATTTTTGGCGTTTATAGTTTATTTTCGATTTATGAGTTTGACTGTCCCTCTGCTGACTGCATTCATCAGTACTCATATTTCTCCCACACTAGTGTCAGACTTTGGTTAACAACACTGTTTGTTTAAATTACCAAAGCATTATGTTATATAATGTCATGATGGGCAGTTTTCGAATGGGGACGACGAAGAAGAGATATCGGGATGTTTAGTAATTTATCTTAGAGGGCCAATATACCATGCACTCTTTTTTAGTTGACAATCTCAAATGGAAATTAATTATAGTTATTTAAAATGACAGGTGAATTTATTTTTTTTTTTTAATCTGTAACGATTTCCTGTACACCCTTGAAAATAGTAATCCACCGAAAAGTGCAGAATATGTGGTTAAATTTGGAGGTGCAAAAACAGGAAATATAATCTGAATGGTAAACAAATAGTTTCTTCGTTTCTATACGAAAAAAACCAAAAAAAAAAAACTAAAACAATGGCAGGTTAAAAATGTATGTATGTGTAAACAAGCAACAACTAAACTAGAGATCAAGTCAGTTTGCTAGTATCGTAATTAAGAGAATGAATGTGCTGGTTATGATTACAAAGACAATAATTGCTGTCATTACAAATTGCCCAACAAAGAATATATGCATAAAAAGTAAAATCACAAAAATACTGAACTCCGAGGAAAATTCAAAACGGAAAGTCCTTAATCAAATGGCAAAATCGAAAGCTCAAACACATCAAACGAATGAATAACAACTGTCATATTCCTGACTTGGTACAGGCATTTTTTTATGTAGAAAATGGTGGATTGAACCTGGTTTTATAGCTAGCTAAACCTCTCACTTGTATGACAGTCGCATCAAATTCCATTATATTGACAACGATACGTGAACAAAAAAAAACAGTCATAATAGGTAGAAATGTCAAAAATACAGCAGTCAACAATGTGTTATAATCTTAATCACTAAATCAACATACAAATATGTAACAAAGAAGCACAAAATGGCATATAGAGCAAGCATATTAGCAAAAATTAAAGACAAGAATACACAATATTTATTTATTCTAAAACCAGTTGTTGGCATGACACGGGTTATGTTCTTCTCATATATTTTATGATGGTATAATACTAAACCCCTAACAGGAGGGATTGTGCCTGATATTCATATGATGAAGACATAATCTTTCAATCAGTTTAATTGAGGTCTGGAGCTGGCATGTCAGTAACTGCTAGTAGTCTGTTGTTAATTTATGTATTATTGTCATTTTGTTTATTTTCTTTTGTTTCCTATTCTGACATCGGACTCGGACTCCTCTTGAACTGAGTTTTACTGTGCGTACTGTTGTGCGTTTGTTTTTTCTACATTGGCTAGAGGTATAGGGGGAGGGTTGAGATCTAAAAAAACATGTTTAACCCCGCCGCTTTTTTGCGCCTGTCCCAAGTCAGGAGCCTTTGGCCTTTGTTAGTATTGTATCATTTTTAATTTTAGTTTCTTGTGTATGATTTGGAGTTTAGTATGACGTCTATTATCACTGAACTAGTATACATATTTGTTTAGGGGCCAGCTGAAGGACGCCTCCGGTTGCGGGAGTTTCTCGCTGCATTGAAGACCCATTGGTGGCCTTCGGCTGTTGTCTGCTCTATGGTCGGGTTGTTGTCTTTTTACAGAGCCACGTCATATATGTAACAAAGAAACATAAAAAGGCATACAGACAAAACACATAGCAAAAATGAAAGACAAGCAACAAACAAGTTTTCGAAGTAACACCAAACGGCATGATATGGTTCGTTATTTTCTTTTATTATAGATCAGGAAATGACAGAACACCGTTGAAACCAGTAGATAACCAATTTAAATGGAGAGACACAAGAACAGAAAATCAACTGTTTTCTCATTTCAATTCCAACCAATTGCGACACAAATTTTCAACAATGATGAACAGAAACAGAAAAATAGGTAATGTACATGTATATGCTATTGCGAGAAAAGACCAAAATGTATATGTTATACTAGTTTGTAACCGTCTATTCATCATTCAGATAAAGTTTGTCTAATCCATGGTTTTTAGAAATCAGAAATATTGAATTATCTAAATTAGAAATCAGTAGTGAAAACATAACGTTTACTGATTTTGAAAAATAGCATTTATTATGGAACTTGGATATAGATCCAACGTGAGTAATATGAGTTGCTATGTGCCACCTGTCCTGATCTTTACTTCAAGTTCGATGCCACAAGTTCTTCCAAATGTTTCTCTAAATGATTTAAGTGATCATGTGTGTTACGCGGTACATGTTTTCCTACCATATCCCCACATAAATTTTGTGGCGTTCATTATTAACAGTCAAGGGAATAAGGCGATACTTAAGGTATGCGATATTAAAAGATGAAATACTTTTCTGTATTAATTATGAGGTTGGATTAAGCGTTTGCACAGGAGTTCAAATGTAATTCTATGTTTTTAAAAGTGTTTGTTCGACGCAACGAGCATGCTTCCTGAACCGAATTATTCTCTGACTTTTTCATTCTGTGCAAAAGTCATTGTTATTGTATGTTGCAGCTAAACTTGATCAGCAACAGCATCGAGATCGTGCGTCTCAATTGGTTTTCTGGAAATCGACTTCAGTTTTAGTCATGTCTCTATGTAATGATGCAAAATATGAATAACATAAAATACTTTTCGCACGCAAAGAATTCCAAGGACAACAGTACATATAACAACATAAACTCCGGTAAATCATAGAGTGATTAAAGGGGTTCCGGAATGATACGCATATCCTACTCCAAATGTTGCACCTGTCGTGTTGCTTTGTAAAACATCAAATAGACACCGACATTCATCACATCTAAGTCAATATCCCTGCTAAGCAGTACTTAAAAAAGGTCTCCTTACTCTGTTTTATACTTTCAGATCTGCCGACCGGTACCTTTATCTTCCAAGGAAATCTAAATTGAGGAAAGTACTCGTGAGTATTTTTTACTTTTTTTTTGTAGATTTTAAGTAATCAACGAGCACGTAATTATTGAAACAGATCATTATGTTTCAATATTCTTAACCTTTATATGAATGCCAATGTATGTCCAATTTTTGACCTAAACAATATCGTACATATATATATATATATATATAAAGGAAGCTGTGGTATGATTGCCAATGAGACAACCTTTCACAAAGGATCAAATGACATACAAATTAATAACTAATAGGTCACCATATGGCCTTCAACAATAAGCAGGCTCCTGCCGCATAGTCAGCTATAAAAAGATCCCGAAATGACAAAGTTAAAAAAATCAATAATGTCATCTTCTGCATACTGAGGGAAACTACATTTTCTCTTCAGAGTTCAATGTTATTGTATTACATTATATTCATATTGATCTTACTTTTTATGGGTGTAAAAATGTGAAAATGTTTGCCAATACGACAACTCTCCGTAACGAACAAATGACATTTTTTTAATGTTTAGTGGGTACAAAGAATTCCTCTTAATTATTGCAACACATGAACAAATACAATGAAAGTCCCAACAATGTACTGGCTTCCGAAGCTACATAAAACACCTTACAAATATAGATTTATTTCGTCTTCAAGCCATTGTTCCACTACTAAATTGTCTATTCTACTTACTAGTACACTTGGTACAATCAAAAACCTGATAATAAATTGTTCAAATAAGGCCTTTGAAAATAGTGGAATTAATTACTTTTGGAGTGTCAAAAATTCGTTGGAAGTACTTGATAAATTGCATGCATATATTGGTGATTTTGAATCTGTTCAAAGTTTTGATTTTTCTAACCTATATACCACTTTGCCTCATATTCTTATTAAGAAAAAAATCACACATTTAATTAAATGGGCTTTTAAAAAGTCAGAATGCGAATACATATGTTCAAACTCTTTTAGGTCAGTTTTTAGTAGCAACAAACAAAAGAACTATTTCAATTGGACATGCTTTGATACTATATCTGCCCTTGAATGTTTACTAGATAACATTTTTGTTCGCTTTGGAGATTCCGTATATCGTCAAGTTATCGGAATTTCCATGGGGACTAACTGTGCACCACTTATTGCGGACTTGTTTTTGTATTGTTATGAGTTACAATTTATGACTAAAATGAGCAAAGACCCATCGAAACATCATTTGATACAAAAATTTAACAATACTTTTAGATATTTGGATGATATATTGGCTCTCAATAATGACGACTTCAGTATGTATACTAAAGAAGTTTATCCTGTTGAACTAACTTTAAATAAAGCTAATACTAACAATGACCACTGCCCTTTCCTCGATCTTGATATCTATATCATTAACGGGAAGCTTAATACAAAAATTTATGATAAAAGAGATGATTTTTCATTTCCTATCGTTAATTATCCATTTTTAGATGGTGACGTTCCCTTGTCACCATCTTATGGTGTTTATATATCTCAACTTGTACGATTCGCTCGTGTATGTAACAACGTATTAGATTTTAGCGAGAGAAATTTATGTATTACTGAAAAATTATTACACCAGGGTTTTCGTTATCACAAACTAGTCAAAACATTTACTAAATTTTATCATCGGTACAAGGACATCTGTCGTAAATATGACTCAACATGGATACATCTTATACGTTCAGGTATTTCACATCCAATTTGTTATGGTAATATTCTTTACAAAGCACAAAATTGTCAGTATTCACCTCAAAAGCTAACAAAACCTTTAAAAAGACTTATTAAGAAAGGATATAGTTACGATACTGTTGTCAGGTCATTAAAGATTGCATATTTTGGCTTTAATATTGATTCACTTATAGGGTCTTTGCATCGGAATTAAACATATTTATTCTAAAACCAGTTGTTGGCATGATACGGGTTATGTTCTTCTCATATATTTTATGATGGTATAATACTAAACTCCTAACGGGAGGAATTGTGCTTGATATTCATATGATGAAGCCATAATCTTTCAATCAGTTTAATTGAGTTCTGGAGCTGGCATGTCACTAACTGCTAGTAGTCCTTTGTTAATTTATGTATTATTGTCATTTTGTTTAGTTTCTTTTGTTACCTATTCTGACATTGGACTCGGACTTCTCTTTAACTGAGTTTTACTATGCGTATTTTTTTTCTGCATTGACTAGAGGTATAGGGGGAGGGTTGATATCTCAAAAAACATGTTTAACCCCGCCGCTTTTTTGCGCCTGTCCCAAGTCGAGTTTAGTATGACGTCCATTATCACTGAACTAGTAACATTTTTGTTTAGGGGCCAGCTGAAGGACTCCTCCGGGTGCGGGAGTTTCTCGCTCAATTGAAGACCAATTGGTGGCTTCGGCTGTTGTCTGCTCTATGATCGGGTTGTTGTCTCTTTGACACATTCCCCATTTCCATTCTCAATTTTAAGGTTTTACGCGTTACTTGACATATAATTAGCATTTACTGCATTTAATAGAATACAAACCTGAAATGACATTTATTCTCCCTATGTTATAGAATTTACTCCTAGTTTGAGTTAGGGGAGTGATTCAAATGACGCCATTATTGATTAAATTCAATTAAAACACATGTTTTACTTCTATTCCAGTATACACAAGTTCCTGACACGAATGATCTGGGACGAGTATTAGAAAACGATTGGCTTGTGTCTCCACCTGAGGCAATTATAGCAATTACAGGAATAAGTCACCAGTTCAACATAAAAGACAAGCGCAATTTGAAAAAAGATTTAATTGAGGCTGTCATAAGCACTGGTAATACATATATAAAAAGAAAAACAAAATCTCATTTTTTTTTACACCAAACATAAATGCAGTTTTGTCCATAGTTTTGTTTTTACGCAATACACATGATACAGTTACCTATTTAGTATACATGCAACTTGAGTAATATGCTCAGTATAGCATTTCGGAACACAATATTCAAAAAGAATTGATTGTATGCAAGAGGATTGTCATTTTCCTGTCGTTTTTATACATTTATGAAGGTAAATCTCCGTAAGGTTAAATTGACGCAGACAATATTTCACTGTTTTAAGTTTAAGCGTATTTAAAGGAAAATTTAGGTCAATAATCACTTGAAAATACAAATCACTACATGTATTAATATCTAATCTATATATTTTGCTAATCGAAACTTAAGATCATCGTCAATGTAATGGCGGCTCTGAGTGAAAATCGATTTTCAATAATTATCTCATCCAGAAAAAAATAGATTGATTAAATCACCGAATGGCAACTTTATATCAGAAACTATAATACATATAATGATTGCATGTTTTGCATTGCAGACTCCATGTTGTGGTCTTAGTCTTTATGATAGACGCCTGCTTAGAAAATTATCAGAATGTTTTCGTAACTCTGTCGAAACATTTTATAGTGAATCATGCATAATTTTGAAAGTGGAATATTCATGTATACCACTTAACGTGTACCCTATTGACAATTCGTTAGTTAAAAGTGCATATAATCTTCTCTGTCATTTCCCTTTGTTTATGGATTTCTAACGCGTAAATGAGTTCTGAAAATTGTTAAACTACGTTTGCCTTATAATAGTGATCTTGCATTGGGTACAATCAAAATTTCACAAAAGAAAGAGACTCATTTCATTATGATTTACGTACCATTTTTATTCACAATTGATTATGTAGGATCTTGGATTGTTACTTGTGGTACAGAATCCGGAGTTGTTCAGTTCATCGAAGACGCTGTTAATGACCATGTTGCATCGACAACTTACAATATTCCAATAGTTGGACTGTTGTCAAAAAGAGTATTAGATGAGGTAAATAAGCTTGTTAATAAATGTTTAAAAAATAGATAAATGCAAACAATACTTTTCAAAGAAATGTCAAGATATCAGCTAACGTATATAGTACGTATGATGAATAACATGTTTACAATATACCTGTTTCATATAACCGACTTTTTTGCGCCTGAATTTATATTTTTATGACAAGTTACCTTCTCATTGGTAGGACATCCTGGTACTCGGTCAATCAAGAGCAAAGCAAGGAAGTAAATTCAATCTTTCAATTGGTACAAATAGTCTGTTTCTATGCTTATTCCCGTTCATTTTTGTAGCAGTTCAGTGTTTTTGTTGTTCCGTTGTTTTTCTCTTATAGTTGACGTGTTTCTCTCGGCTTTTTTTTCGCGTAATTGTTTAATGACTATTGAACAGCCTTATACTACTGTTGCCGTTGTTAATGCTTTCTTCACAGACAAAATTTGCTCACGTGAGTTTCACATAAATCTCACATGAAATTCAAGTGAACGATATCATGTGAGATTCACCTCAAACGAGCTTCTACATGAAACTCACGTAAAAATTGTCATTTCAAATAAACTTCACGTAAACGTTGCAAAAAAAAAAAATAATTGATTGTTATTCAGCGTTGTAATAAATTTGAAAACTTAGATGTTTTTTTTTATTATTTTATTTAAGAAATTCTCATGAATTTCACGTGAAACGAATTCATATGATTTTCACATAAATTTGTTTTATATGAGATTATCATGACACTTATATTAACTGATTGCACGTGAGTTATACGTATAAGCATGTTTGAGGTGAAATTCAGCTAAATTACCTGTGAGATTCACAATAATTTTTAATTCACGTGAAATTGATTGGAGTAAAATTTCCCTTGTATACACGACAAAATAATCGGAAAATAGTAACATTTTCCCTCAAATTGCACAGATTATGATTTTACTTCTTAAGGTTGCTCATACATGACTACTTCTTAATCTTCTTATTAAAATAGGACATCATGGTAATTGGTCAATAAGAGCAAAGTAACGAAGTTAAATCAAGCTTACAATTTCTGGATGGGTGATTAACTGTTAAATATTTTCTATACACCACAAAACAGTACCCTTCCCCCTCCGAATTGCACAGATCTTTTGTTTTACTTTACTTATATTGATTGCACTAAGACGACAACTGAGTACTAGAATGCCATACCACAGATAATGTAACCTGTCGAAAAATGTATTATGCAGAGTCAAAAGTCGGTGATATGAAAAATGTATATTGGGTTGCACTTATTTGTCTTATTTTGGATTAAATTGAAATCTGGAACAATGTTTTACTATTTTCTTACTGAGCCGATATCAACATTTGATATAATTGATTTAATTGATTATAAATTCTAAAAAAAAAAAATCATCGGAATGTACCAAGACCTTGATAAATATTCCATATTAACTTCACAAATACATTTTTGTAATACACGATGGTCTTGTAGTATAGATTCCTGGTACTGGCGTTGTTTTATCATCGTAATAACGTGTTATAGAATTCTTTTATTTGTCTTTATGAATATTACTTTTACTATTAAGTCTATTTTGGGTGGTATCCGCTTGACGTGGCTCTGTACGTGCACATCCTGACGTTGGGTTATTGTTCGTTGATATTTTTTGTATTCTTGTCTTTCATTTTTGCTAATTTGCTTGTTTTTTTTTATATGCCTTTAAGTGTTACAATAACGCGGATCTGTACTTTTACAACGCGTCATTGTTCTATGATAAGTTTTGAATTCATATCTTTTATTTTCGTTAATATGCTTTGTCTATATACCTTTCGTGTATCTTTGTTACATGTAACGTGGCTATGTACTTATATACCCAGCCATTGTGTTAGTGCGCCATGGTAAATATAAAAAAAAAGATGTGGTATAATTGCCAATGGGAAAACTCTCCACAAGAGACCAAAGGACACAGAAAGTAACAACTATAGGTCATCGTACGGCCTTCAACAATGAGCAAAGCCCTGACCGCATTGTCAGCTATAAAAGGCCCCGAAATGACAATGTTAAACAATTCAAACGAGAAAACTAACGGTCTATCTTATGTAAAAAAAATTAAATGAAAAACAAATATGTAACACATAAACAAACGGTAACCACTGAATTACAGCCTCCTAACTTGGGACAGGCACATACAAACAGAATATTGCTTCATGTATTTGTTTGTTTTTATAGTGATTGAGATAATAACATAGTTTTGACTGCTGTACCTCTATTTTTTACTTTTGTACCTATTATGTCTGTTTGTTTTGTTCACACATCGTTGTCAATATAATGGAGATTTATGCGACTGCCATACAAGTGAGGGGTTAAACTATCCATAAAACGATGTTTAGTCAACCATTTCTACATAAGAAAATGCATGTATCAAGTCAAGAAAATGACAATTGCTATCCATTCGTTTGATGTGTTTGAGCTTTTGATTTTTCCGTTTGGTTAGAGACTTTCCTCGGAGTTCAGTATTTTTGTGATTTCACTTTTTACTATTTGCCGATCATGTCTTAGTTGTATCTGGAATAGATTTTGTACAAAACGTCTTGGGTGCAGCTGTCAGTCATTGCAATCGTGTTTATCAGAAATATATTGGTTAATTTTCCAAAATCGGCGGTCTGAATAGACGTTTTTCAAATATGAACTGTTAACATTTCTAAAAGTTCAATATGAATACAATGACACAAAGTAATCAAAGGTTCAGTTTTGCATTGAAAAGAAATAATGGTATCAACGTGTCTCTCATTACCCAAATCGCGATATCAGCATACCACTTACTTTTTCGATCTCCTGACTATCAGATATTTTATTATTTTTAACCGTTAATGATTTGATCTACATTGAATTCTTGTTTCAAATACAATTATTATCATTGTTTGTTTTGTTTTTGTAAGATTAAACCCCTTAAACGAGTTTTAAAAGTAAAGACAAACGATAACGGAGGAAGGATTAGAATTCGTACCAATTCAACAAAAGAAACATTAGATCCAAATCATACACAGTTTATTGTCCTCGGTGATCAAGGAAGAAAACTTCAAGGAGGTTGTGCTTTGTCTGAATGTAGGAATGCTTTCGAAAGTTTCTTATCGAATATCAAATATGCAGGTAAGAGTTTTCTTTTCAAAATCGATATATTACAGATATCGAAATGGGACATACAATGAGTAAAAAAAGGGGCAAAAGATATCAGAGGGACAGTCAAACTCATAGATCGAAAAATAAGTGACAACCCAATGGCTAACAAAGAAAAAGACAAACAGACAAACAATAGTACACAAGACACACTACGGAAAACTAAAGACTAAGCAACATGAACCCCACCAACAATTGGGGGTGATCTTGAAGTTTGAACAGGTGCGTTTACATGGTAGTACTTAGAGAAAAAACAATGACAGGCTTATTTCTGATGATGGTTAAATATTTATTATCATAAACAGATTGGTCTATGTGGACAGTGGCACACTATAACTTATAAAATTGCACAACAGATCACCACACGCAGATAGTTTTACATTGCACTGAATGTCTGAAGGTGGTATCACAACATTTGGCATATTTTTACTGTAAATTTAATGCCAACATTTTTTTCTGATGATCATGGCCTTCTAAAATTAGAGAAAGGTGTATGTTATTTTGATAACGCAAGGCATTGAGATAAATAAATATAAAAAAAATATGTAATATAAATATTACATGCATTAATACTGCATTTTCAACGTCAGTCTGAAGCTAAATCTTTTATATCCTACCTTAATGGTGATTATCTAATTAATCATGCTCACCAATTACTACTCTTGTATTAATTCAATGCAAAAGAAATTATGTTTTAAAAATAGCTTTAAATATCTCAACATATGCATCTTTTGATAATACTACATCAAACATGATACCAAAAGAGACTACTAAAAATTATATGATTTTGTAGTGGTATTTCTAATTAAATCGAACATTTTGTTTGATATGCGTTTTGTTTTCTCCGAAGCATGGTAAAATCTTTCCAAGCTTTCGAAAATGTATGTAAAGCGAATGGTATGACAAGAAATTAATATTAAGATTATATTCTTTGCAGAATTCTTGCAAATCAAAACTTCAGTACAAAATCATTAACAAAATAAAATATGATTTCTAATTTTCATGGTTTAAAAATTTAGTTTAGTTTAGTTTAGTATAGAAAATCATCATACTTATCTTATTTTGTACGAAAAAGACGAACAGTTACAAAACATTACGAATTTTAAGAATGAATTGATCTGTTTGATATAAATCATAACGTTTAGCTAGTATAAAAGTAAAATCTTTGAAATTAATCAGCAACATTAAAAGTGTAGCCTTGTTTACAGTATATTCAACAAAACTTATATGTATATGAAATATAAACAAAGCACATGTTATATCTCTATCACATGTTATATCTCTATCACATGTTATATCTCTATCACATAGATGTATCTTTGGAAATTAGAAATTGTCATTTTTCTGTTCATACAGTTGATGCAAGATATTACTAATATATCATTTGCGTCCATGTTGAAATTTGATTAGTAATACATTGTGTTTGATTGAGACAATTCTTAAAGCAAATACAAGAAGTGCATATATTTCATATATATGATTTAAGGAGCATAAAATAAAAAGCGTATATGATTTTTTTGCATGACATACCACAAACAATCTCGTTCAATACGTATCTAAACATTTTAAAAATGTTTTTCCTATGACATGAAATGTTTGCAATGAATACATTAGTATGATATGTGTACAGGTTTTAAACACTGACAAGTAAAGGAAAATGCTGCTTTAAAGACATCAAATGCACATAATACAGACAGAACATTCAAATAAAATATGACATAAATTATCACAATGCTTTAAAGCATTTGGTTATAATTACATTCATAGATAAAATTAAAAAAAAAGAAAAAAAAAGAAATTAGAAATTAACCGATGTAGTTGTTTCTTCTTCTTTTGTAGATTTCGATACCAAAAAAGATAAAGAGCCTAACATAACAAAATATGACACGCAAAGCAAACACGCTCAGTGTGAAACATTAGCTGTTGTATTAGTACTTGTTGAAGGAGGTATTGAGGCAATGAAAACAGTTTCGAGCGTACTGGCAAACAACAAACATGTTGTTGTAATCAATGGATCAGGAGGAGCAGCAAATTTCCTATCAACGTGTTATCGACGAGATACTAGGTTAACTTAATTGTATTCGCATGAGTTTTGTTTTAGTTGATTTGGGTGTTTTTGTGGTTATTTTTTAGAGTTTTGTTTTGTGAACAATTACATGTTCGTGTCAATTCTTAATTTATATACTCAATTATCCATTACAGTCAGATGATTTTTATTCACACAAAAACGTGTTATCTGTTGTGCTATATCAAGTTCTATAAGTCGTGAACATAAATAAATATCACTAACATTCCATTTAAACATTTGTTTTTCTTTATTCAATGATCGTACAAAATTGACTGTAGTTAGTTTATGGTTATCAATCAGACATTTTGCAAAAAGTTCTGAATGTTATATGTTAACATATCTTACATGTTTTAGGATCGTTAATACTTTAAAATGAGCCTTTCTGAAAAAAAACCCAACATAATAATTGCACTTAGAATGAAAGGTGTACTCCTATGATACTATTTTCCTTAACTAGAAAAAGAAATTATGCGATGTTGAACATGCAATTAATTCAAAGAATGTATAAAATAGGAGAACGCTCAATGATGACCAAATAAGTATAATAGACACAACATTTTGTTGTGTATTTCTCTTAAATATTTTACCAGATTAAGGTTGTTATGCGTATCAACCTGCAATATTTATTCGGTTATGCATAGCGGAACAGGTTTGTTGTTTTTATTTTCATTAATTTATAGTTTTAAAAGGGAGGGCAACCCTGAACCAGCAACATTGTCCGATTATAATGAAGATATCGAGGAATTAATAGATGAATGCTTCGAAAATGATTCCAAAGAGTTAGAAGAGGAGGCACAAAAGCTGGCAAAGCACTGTCCGCAGAAACTTAAATTGGTAAATAACACAGGAAAAGTAATTGCTAGTATTTACATATTGTAAAAGCCTTTTCTCCTGATGTTATATGGACCGATTTCCTCATTTGAATCAACTTTTTGGGACAACGTTGCCGGAAACTTTACCTTATCTTTTCATTGAACAACACGAATAAACGTGTGTTTTCTTTTGTACTGTACTGTCCTATTATTCTAAACACTTAGGATTTTCTTATCCCAGGCATAGATATCTTAGCCGTATTTGGCACAACTTTTTAGAATTTTTGGTCATCAATGCTCTTCAACTTTATACTTGTTTGGCTGGTTTGGCTTTCTTTACTATTTTGATCTGAGCGTCACTGGTGAGTCTAATGTAGATTAAACGCACGTATGTTGTATCAAATTATAAGCCTGGTATCTTTGATAACTATTAGCATGTCGAAATGTCTTATTGTAATGCTTATTTGTGTATTTCTCTATCTGAATGTTCTTGCATTTATTTATACTGTAGTCCTGTCATGTAATGTTGTTATTTTAGTGTTATATTTAACATTGCCATTAAAGCGCGAGGTTTGGCTAGCCGCAAAATCAGGTTCAACCCACCTTTTTTTCTTAAAATGTCCTGTACCAAGTCAGGAAAATGGCAGTTGTTATCTTATAGTTCGTTTCTGTGTGTGTTGCATTTTAGTGTTTCTGTTGTGTCGTTGTTCTCCTCTTATATTTGATGTGCCTTTATTTAAAGAGTAACAATACTGATAGCTGTATAACCTCAATTGTGTGTCATTTACATTTACGAAATATCTTTTTTAAATCACCAATACAAGGGACCAGGTTTGCCTCTGTCAACAATGTTCGCCTATTATCGGGCGTGATTTCAACTCTGAAGAATTGAGTTGCGGTTAACAAATGTGCTTTTTAGACCAAAATTGTTTAGGTTTCTATAGTTTTGCTCAAATTGTCGCAAGTGACACATTTAACATTTCCTTATGCTTGTATTTTAAAGGTTTGGTTGGCTTGCTTGATTTGTTTGTATATATGTTTGCTCAAGCACTGCAAGATTGACATCTGCAATCAATCGATAGGCAAAGATTTAGCTTGTATACATTATACTTAAAATAGTATTGGATGTAAGGTATATTGCATAGTATAATGTAAACAAGGTGATGTCTCGCCAATCTATTTATTATGTATGTCAATCTATGCAATTGTTTTTTCATTTTACACTGTTGCCAAAAGAAGGATGAAACGTTACAAAATACAAATCACATACTAGAAAAAAACATATGTGTATAACACATACATTTTGTATATCAATCAAGTAATTAGGATTCACTTGTATGCAGTTCCCTTGACCGATGACAAAAGGAAAAAGACTGTGTACGTGTACATGTACCTGTTGATAATTAGTTCAATTAATTTATCATTTCAATTTTGTTCTTATGCACTGGTAAGTGAAAGTCATAAAGTCAGTGTTTTGAAAAATAATTTCCGAGAAGTGATTGTTTTTTACTTTTTTTTTTTATTTCTTTCGGAATGAAAGAAAAAATTAACGAATTTTACGATATATTATAACAAGAACAACAATTACATAGTTTAAGATTTCGAAGTACTTTTATACATCTACCAATTTCACTTCTTTAAAGAAACATTTCGTCTAAGATTACAGTAAATCTTCTATCATCTTTGATTTATTATAAAACAACTACGTTCCATGATCTGTGTCATATTAAACGAATTTCAAAATAAGTGCATATAATATAGGAGGTGAATTTGGTATGTTATGAATATGTGGCTTGTTACATAACAGTTTTAAATAATGAAAATAAATAGAATAAGGTTACTTTTCAGTTATTTTTCTTTGATATCTTGGAACATTAAGATCGACATTGAATGGACGGATCATTTGCCCCTTCAATATACGGTGATAATTTGGAGTCCAATGTACTATAAAGAATAACATCAAGTGTTTTTTTTTTCAAATTTGTAGATTCATATTTATTCGTTGGAGAACAAAACGACCAAAGTCGCTGAGTTTATTCAGAATGCCATATTCAACACATATCAAGGTAATCATAAAAACAAACAGTTTTGCAAGAGAATATTTTTATACATTACATTCGACAACTCATTTTGTAAATTAGTCAACATGAAAACGCAGCTCATACTTAAATAATTATACAAAAATACAAAAACAAACAAAGAATGTGCTTCTTTCTTGGTTATGCTGAATTTAAATTAATTGTATATGACTAAGCGTTTATAAATATATGCGACAGTAAACCACTGATGTTCAAATCTTTTCAGTCGATTAAGAAAAGATAAATCAAAGTGGCAATCCCATTATAAGCCTATCGCATTAACTCATTAAGAAACGAGACGATATATACAGTTATATTAAAGACGTTGATTGCATTTTAAATGATACATATTTTGATATTATCATGATGAATTTTGAATCAATTCAATATAAGCTAATCGTATTTCTAATGGCTGTAGCTAAGGTGTCTAAATGTTTGACGATAAGTATTTCTTAAATTTCTGCAAAAAGATTTCTGGGTTAAAATACTTCAATATAAAAACTTGGGGTCACGGACCTTGTTTTTACTTTAAAATATATTGAAATTAAAAGACTCATAGTTATGTTATATGGGATATACAGGGAAAACGTTAGAAGTCCTTATTAGGAAATTATCTAAAGATAAAATTGCTTTAAAATTCAATGCCAGAATAACTGTTCATAAAATACGTCCGAAATGTCAAATAGATATATGGGTCACAGTCTTTATATTCTTTATAATTCCCCAAAACTCTAATTGGTCTTTAAAAAGCAGTTTGATTATTTACCCTTGGTTTTTTAATGATTTATTTTTTTGAAAAGTTAATATACTCGATACTTTATCATTAATGGTCAAATCATAAAATTTCAAGCTCTAGATGTAACTTTTGCATATTAAATGATACTTGGTAAATATGTTCAACAAATTCAGCTCTATCTTTGTGATCTTACTTTTGGTTTTAAAAAAGTTTTTTTCATAAGATATATTTTTATCATTTAGATATCATGAAAAATAGGGATCATAAAAAGTAGAACCGTCACAGAAAATTATTTTTGAATATAATGATTTTACAGAGATTGACCAATTAAAGCAGGCAAAATAAAAAAATTTTGATATTCCCTATTGCATCCAAGCAAGTTAAGGGGGAGACAATGAATATATTATACATGTAATATTTGATCATTCTTTTATAGCTTGAGATTTTTTATATAGTTCTATTTAAAAGGGAAATATACCAGAATAAAAATATATTTCTGTTACCACATCCGATCACACGCCGCACATTTGATAGAGATTTTCAGCATTATATTCGTTTATTCATACATTGTTTAAATCCACTTCATTTGAACTTATGTGGATAGTTGTCTCATTGGAAATCATACCACATCTCCTTAGTTTTATATTGATAAGTATTATATGAACAAAAATTGCTAGTACAATTCATTTAAAAGAAAAATCATAACACAGTTTGATGATATATCTCATTATATTGTATCAGCAGGTACTATGGAACTACACAGACATTTTCATTTAAGTTACCTTATCTTTTAATAGAATACTATAAGACGAAAGTCAAGCATGAAGATCCAAATACAAAAAAAGCTTTGAAAATCAATGCAGTAAAGAAACAACTAAAACTTGTCGAAAAATGGAAAAGATGTGACATTGCGGAGAAAAATATCTTTATAGCCAAGAACCGAAACGAACTCAAGTGGTTACAGGTAAAAGTAAAAAGAAATGAATTTAATCGTTAAATACATAGTCTTATAACTTTTTTAAACGTTGAAAAAGCCACATTTTGTTTCAAATCAGTTACATAAGTGTACAGCAACACAAAGGAGTAAAATAAAAATTAGTAATTACCAATTCTGGTAAACAAATGTTCTGCTTTAATATAAGTTGACAACTAATGAAATGAGGACAAAGGTCATGATTTTGTTTGACCTGCAATTTTTATAAATACTAACGCCTTATGTGGGTAAATATGCCAATAATGACAAAATTTTGAATTATTATTGTTTCAACCTGCAGACACTTAATGAAGACAGGATGAACATATTGCAAAATAAAACCGAAGACGTAATAATAGCGATTCAGAAGGATTATAAAGACATGGCTAAAGATTTGTCAGAATCTTATAAGCAACTCAAGAATGGCATATTACAGGTTTGTATTCTTTGATATTATATTATTGATTTGCACACGTTAAAATATATAAATTTGCAAAGTTTTCGTTTCAATTTAGACTAAGCAAATTATCTGTAACAATACAATTCTCAAAAACTAAATTATACTTACGTAATTACACAAGACAGCCATTTAACGTAAACTTGATTAAATGTAGCTAATATCTGTTAATCGGTTTAACATTGGCACTAATACCGATTTTGTTATCAGCAAATTAAAACATAATTAAATTTGTATTCTTTTCAAACGGGATGTATAAAAACACACACACGTTCATTTTTATCTATAAAGAGGTTAACTCCTAACTATCCTACTGCCGGCCGATACATATTTTTGGCATTGCACTAGTCATGTCTTCTTTGACTGTCCATGACGTTAAAATACTTAATCCCTGGGATGTGTTTTAGTTGATTTTAGTCTCTGATGCATGATTTTTTATTATTAATTGTTTTGGCTTTTAACTAGCTGTCAGTAACAGCGAGTACTCTCAAATCGTACTTACTTTAATTCTACCTGTTGATACTATGTGTAATGCTTTTTTGTTATTTAATGTTAACTTATATCTGGTCTATATACCATCTTTGATAAGTGTTATAAGGAATTACTATAAATTTTCACTTCTTGGTACTATGAACATCAAAATAATTTCCTTTTTCCCTTTATACTGTATATACATCACACTTTCGGCACCTATACACGAAGAACACGAAGTTCATTGAGCACAAATTTTATAGTTTATTGTTGATATTCACTCAACATTTACCAAGTTTTAGAATAGTTTAATTGTTATACAAGAAATTTCTTGGTGTTCCTAAACGTAAGGTTATACAGACAGAAGAAGAAGTATTCTTATCTACAAAATGATTTTCATTAACCTGTGTTTAATTTTGATGTTACAAATGGTTTAATTTTTTTCAAAGCTGATGTTTTTCTGAACTTGTTTAGCATTTCACAGCGGTATAATACTTTTACTATAATTATTCATCCCTTATTTTTATTAACCTCGTATTTACATTGTATCATAGATCAAATTTATTCGTTCAGTGTATGTTCATTTGGTCACTTCGTCTTTTGATTGAGTTAAGCCATTCCAATTGATATTTTATTGTGTTTATTTCTATTTTGTGATGTTACACTATTGTTTCAGATAAGGGTGAAGGTTTGGTACCATTAAAACGTTTAAACCCGCTACAATTGTTTGCACCTGTCCTAAGTCAGGAATCTGACGTTCAGTAGTTGTCGTTTGTTGATGTGGTTCATAAGTGTTTTTCGTTTCTCGTTTTTTATATAGATTAGACCGTTGGTTTTCCCGTTTGAATGGTTTTACACTAGTAATTTTTTTATGGGGCCCTTTATAGCTTTTTGTTTGGTGTGAGCCAAGGCTCCGTGTTGAAGACCGTACCTTGACCTATAATGGTTTACTTTTATAAAATGTGACTTGGATGGAGAGTTGTCTCATTGGCACTCATACAACATCTTCTTATATCTATTTTTAATATCATAACTGATTAAAGAAGAAGTTGATAGAAAAGCACACAATATGTAATCTTATTTTTCAAGATTCAGTTCTATGCCAAAGCTAACCATTCAAATTTATGAAATCAACACAGATTATATTTGTACAAATTGCATGTAGAAGAACTATAGCTGAACCAACAAGTTGCGGGTTAATTTGGTTCCACAAACATATTCTCTTTACAGTTAAAGGCAGACTACTCCTCGGTTTTATCGACCGCGTTTGACAAGTTAGCTGAACATGCCGGCATTATGCCTGTTGCTTTTCTAAAAGATCTAGAAGATGATAAGTATGAAGTTTTAAACGAGATCGAAACAGCATTGGTTGATGTGAGTTCGATAGTAAAGATATGTCTTAATGATTACGATTATCATTGTTATGAGGGTCAGAATTGGGTTTATATAAAAGAAATATTGGTCAAATTGAAAAAAAAAGAAGAGAAAAATGAGCAAAAATATATGAAAAAAATAGAATAACGGTGTACCTATTACAGATATATACTATGTTCAAGCAGAATAAAGATCGAAATCATTCATGAAAAAATTACAATTCAAATTGAAAGTTTTATTCTATTTCTTTTTAAATGAAGACATGCTGAATTATTCTTTAACGAACAAACTCTTTGGAGAGAAAAAAGCTCCTGGTAATCGTATGGCGCTCAGAAACGAGCAAAATATATACCGTATTGTACGTGAATTTTTTTCGGGATGCAAAACGATGAAACAATAAAAAAGACAACCATCGGTGATCTGGTTTTTGATAAAAGCAATACACAAACATTCGATTATGGTCACTGGACTACAAGCTTCTGACCATCAGTGTTAATACTGGGGTAGCATTACATATTTAGTAATGTACAAGAGTAATGAAAAAGAAATCAAAGTGCAACGATACTACGTTTCGTAATCGATGAGATTTACATGTAAATTCTATTTATACATAGAATACGAATAATACGTGTTTTGGTACGCATTTAAAATTACAACTGAAAGGGCATAAATAAAAATAATGTGAAAAAAGTAAAATCACAAAAATACTAAAATCCGAGAAAAATTCAAAACGGACAGTCCCTAATCTAATGGTGAAATCAAAAGCTCAAACACATCAAACGAATGGATAATAACTTGGTACAGGCATTTTCGTATGTGGAAAACAGTGGATTAAACCTGGTTTCAAAGCTAGCTAAACCTCTCACTTCTGTTGTATACCTATATCCCTCTATGGAATTATTATCTTTTTGAATAATATATCTTTCTGTTAAAAGAACCACTCGGAGCACGGTTGAATATAATATGCTTCTAGGCATACGATAATGTTCTGTGTCAGGTTTTTTGTACCAGGTTTGACGGGGATAAAGTTAACGCGAGTTAACTCATGTCCACCGCATGGAAACGCCTCATTTAAATTTATAGTAGACACAAGTATCATTCCTTCGTTAATTTTTCCCTTTATACTGTATATACATCACACTTTCGGCACCTATACACGAAGAACACGAAGTTCATTGAGCACCAATTTTATAGTTTATTGTTGATATTCACTCAACATTTATCAAGTTTTAGAATAGTTTAATTGTTATACAAGAAATTTCTTGGTGTTCCTAAACGTAAGGTTATACAGACAGAAGAAGAAGTATTCTTATCTACAAAATGATTTTCATTAACCTGTGTTTAATTTTGATATTACAAATGGCGTAATTTTTTTCAAAGCTGATGTTTTCTGAACTTGTTTAGCATTTCACAGCGGTATAATACTTTTACTATAATTATTCATCCCTTATTTTTATTAACCTCGTATTTACATTGTATCATAGATCAAATTTATTCGTTCAGTGTATGTTCATTTGGTCACTTCGTCTTTTGATTGAGTTAAGCCATTCCAATTGATATTTTATTGTGTTTATTTCTATTTTGTGATGTTACACTATTGTTTCAGATAAGGGTGAAGGTTTGGTACCATTAAAACGTTTAAACCCGCTACAATTGTTTGCACCTGTCCTAAGTCAGGAATCTGACGTTCAGTAGTTGTCGTTTGTTGATGTGGTTCATAAGTGTTTTTCGTTTCTCGTTTTTTATATAGATTAGACCGTTGGTTTTCCCGTTTGAATGGTTTTACACTAGTAATTTTTTTATGGGGCCCTTTATAGCTTTTTGTTTGGTGTGAGCCAAGGCTCCGTGTTGAAGACCGTACCTTGACCTATAATGGTTTACTTTTATAAAATGTGACTTGGATGGAGAGTTGTCTCATTGGCACTCATACAACATCTTCTTATATCTATTTTTAATATCATAACCGATTAAAGAAGAAGTTGATAGAAAAGCACACAATATGTAATCTTATTTTTCAAGATTCAGTTCTATGCCAAAGCTAACCATTCAAATTTATGAAATCAACACAGATTATATTTGTACAAATTGCATGTAGAAGAACTATAGCTGAACCAACAAGTTGCGGGTTAATTTGGTTCCACAAACATATTCTCTTTACAGTTAAAGGCAGACTACTCCTCGGTTTTATCGACCGCGTTTGACAAGTTAGCTGAACATGCCGGCATTATGCCTGTTGCTTTTCTAAAAGATCCAGAAGATGATAAGTATGAAGTTTTAAACGAGATCGAAACAGCATTGGCTGATGTGAGTTCGATAGTAAAGATATGTCTTAATGATTACGATTATCATTGTTATGAGGGTCAGAATTGGGTTTATATAAAAGAAATATTGGTCAAATTGAAAAAAAAAGAAGAGAAAAATGAGCAAAAATATATGAAAAAAATAGAATAACGGTGTACCTATTACAGATATATACTATGTTCAAGCAGAATAAAGATCGAAATCATTCATGAAAAAATTACAATTCAAATTGAAAGTTTTATTCTATTTCTTTTTAAATGAAGACATGCTGAATTATTCTTTAACGAACAAACTCTTTGGAGAGAAAAAAGCTCCTGGTAATCGTATGGCGCTCAGAAACGAGCAAAATATATACCGTATTGTACGTGAATTTTTTTCGGGATGCAAAACGATGAAACAATAAAAAAGACAACCATCGGTGATCTGGTTTTTGATAAAAGCAATACACAAACATCCGATTATGGTCACTGGACTACAAGCTTCTGACCATCAGTGTTAATACTGGGGTAGCATTACATATTTAGTAATGTACAAGAGTAATGAAAAAGAAATCAAAGTGCAACGATACTACGTTTCGTAATCGATGAGATTTACATGTAAATTATATTTATACATAGAATACGAATAATACGTGTTTTGGTACGCATTTAAAATTACAACTGAAAGGGCATAAATAAAAATAATGTGAAAAAAGTAAAATCACAAAAATACTAAAATCCGAGAAAAATTCAAAACGGACAGTCCCTAATCTAATGGTGAAATCAAAAGCTCAAACACATCAAACGAATGGATAATAACTTGGTACAGGCATTTTCGTATGTGGAAAACAGTGGATTAAACCTGGTTTCAAAGCTAGCTAAACCTCTCACTTCTGTTGTATACCTATATCCCTCTATGGAATTATTATCTTTTTGAATAATATATCTTTCTGTTAAAAGAACCACTCGGAGCACGGTTGAATATAATATGCTTCTAGGCATACGATAATGTTCTGTGTCAGGTTTTTTGTACCAGGTTTGACGGGGATAAAGTTAACGCGAGTTAACTCATGTCCACCGCATGGAAACGCCTCATTTAAATTTATAGTAGACACAAGTATCATTCCTTCGTTAATTTTTCCCTTTATACTGTATATACATCACACTTTCGGCACCTATACACGAAGAACACGAAGTTCATTGAGCACCAATTTTATAGTTTATTGTTGATATTCACTCAACAGTTATCAAGTTTTAGAATAGTTTAATTGTTATACAAGAAATTTCTTGGTGTTCCTAAACGTAAGGTTATACAGACAGAAGAAGAAGTAATTTATCTACAAAATGATTTTCATTAACCTGTGTTTAATTTTGATATTACAAATGGCGTAATTTTTTTCAAAGCTGATGTTTTTCTGAACTTGTTTAGCATTTCACAGCGGTATAATACTTTTACTATAATTATTCATCCCTTATTTTTATTAACCTCGTATTTACATTGTATCATAGATCAAATTTATTCGTTCAGTGTATGTTCATTTGGTCACTTCGTCTTTTGATTGAGTTAAGCCATTCCAATTGATATTTTATTGTGTTTATTTCTATTTTGTGATGTTACACTATTGTTTCAGATAAGGGTGAAGGTTTTGTACCATTAAAACGTTTAAACCCGCTACAATTGTTTGCACCTGTCCTAAGTCAGGAATCTGACGTTCAGTAGTTGTCGTTTGTTGATGTGGTTCATAAGTGTTTTTCGTTTCTCGTTTTTTATATAGATTAGACCGTTGGTTTTCCCGTTTGAATGGTTTTACACTAGTAATTTTTTTATGGGGCCCTTTATAGCTTTTTGTTTGGTGTGAGCCAAGGCTCCGTGTTGAAGACCGTACCTTGACCTATAATGGTTTACTTTTATAAAATGTGACTTGGATGGAGAGTTGTCTCATTGGCACTCATACAACATCTTCTTATATCTATTTTTAATATCATAACTGATTAAAGAAGAAGTTGATAGAAAAGCACACAATATGTAATCTTATTTTTCAAGATTCAGTTCTATGCCAAAGCTAACCATTCAAATTTATGAAATCAACACAGATTATATTTGTAAAAATTGCATGTAGAAGAACTATAGCTGAACCAACAAGTTGCGGGTTAATTTGGTTCCACAAACATATTCTCTTTACAGTTAAAGGCAGACTACTCCTCGGTTTTATCGACCGCGTTTGACAAGTTAGCTGAACATGCCGGCATTATGCCTGTTGCTTTTCTAAAAGATCCAGAAGATGATAAGTATGAAGTTTTAAACGAGATCGAAACAGCATTGGCTGATGTGAGTTCGATAGTAAAGATATGTCTTAATGATTACGATTATCATTGTTATGAGGGTCAGAATTGGGTTTATATAAAAGAAATATTGGTCAAATTGAAAAAAAAAGAAGAGAAAAATGAGCAAAAATATATGAAAAAAATAGAATAACGGTGTACCTATTACAGATATATACTATGTTCAAGCAGAATAAAGATCGAAATCATTCATGAAAAAATTACAATTCAAATTGAAAGTTTTATTCTATTTCTTTTTAAATGAAGACATGCTGAATTATTCTTTAACGAACAAACTCTTTGGAGAGAAAAAAGCTCCTGGTAATCGTATGGCGCTCAGAAACGAGCAAAATATATACCGTATTGTACGTGAATTTTTTTCGGGATGCAAAACGATGAAACAATAAAAAAGACAACCATCGGTGATCTGGTTTTTGATAAAAGCAATACACAAACATTCGATTATGGTCACTGGACTACAAGCTTCTGACCATCAGTGTTAATACTGGGGTAGCATTACATATTTAGTAATGTACAAGAGTAATGAAAAAGAAATCAAAGTGCAACGATACTACGTTTCGTAATCGATGAGATTTACATGTAAATTCTATTTATACATAGAATACGAATAATACGTGTTTTGGTACGCATTTAAAATTACAACTGAAAGGGCATAAATAAAAATAATGTGAAAAAAGTAAAATCACAAAAATACTAAAATCCGAGAAAAATTCAAAACGGACAGTCCCTAATCTAATGGTGAAATCAAAAGCTCAAACACATCAAACGAATGGATAATAACTTGGTACAGGCATTTTCGTATGTGGAAAACAGTGGATTAAACCTGGTTTCAAAGCTAGCTAAACCTCTCACTTCTGTTGTATACCTATATCCCTCTATGGAATTATTATCTTTTTGAATAATATATCTTTCTGTTAAAAGAACCACTCGGAGCACGGTTGAATATAATATGCTTCTAGGCATACGATAATGTTCTGTGTCAGGTTTTTTGTACCAGGTTTGACGGGGATAAAGTTAACGCGTGTTAACTCATGTCCACCGCATGGAAACGCCTCATTTAAATTTATAGTAGACACAAGTATCATTCCTTCGTTAATTTTACGGACGCCATCCCGAGTTGGTTGACCGTCATCGAATAGCGGATATTTTCCTTATGTCGTTACTACTATCCCGTTCCCTTTTCACGAATGTGACCTACCGAATTAGACTTAGTACCGGGTGTTTACAAGCATGATCAACACGACGGGTGCCGCATATGGAGCATGATATGCCTACCTTTCCGGAGCACCTGAGATCACACAGTTTTTAGAGGAGTTCGTGTTGCTTAGTCTTTATTTTTTTCTATGTTGTTTTTGTGTACTATTGTTTGTCTTTGTCTTTTTTAGACATAGCGTTGTAAGTTTATTTTTGATTGATGAGTTTGTTTATCTCTGTGGTATCTTTCGTCCCTCTTAAATTAACGCTTGATTACCTATACGTTAACTGTTGCTTTATCATAAATACTGTGCGGTTTTCTATGATAGTTGCACGTTACCACAAGTGTGCACTTTGTACTAAACGTGATTTCAGGATTTAATACTGTGGGTTCATTGATAAATTATATCACATGATCAGTGTCTAGAACATAGTTATAAGATCGCTTATACCAAGTTAAGACCAACAATTGCTAACTTTAATGATTGTTTTGAAATGCATTTCTTATAAATGCAGATTATGTTATTCTGCTTTTTCTAAGTTTGTGTTATCAAGGATGTTAGCTACTCTGTTTCAAAATAACAAGCCTTTTAAAAGACTGTTATAAAATGATAGTATATAAATAAAGGAAGAAAAATAAAAACAGAAAAAAAAATGAAGGGTCCTTTTGCATGTTTTCGAGATATAAGCCATTGAAAATTTGGAGGGAAATGATTCTCTCTAGATTTTTCATACTTTTAACATTGGCCGCTTTTTTGTTTCAAAAACTGTGAAAAAATAACAAGGATTTTATAAGATTTTCAAAAATGGCTTTTTGAATTATATGTAATAAAATTATGAAAAGAAAAGTAGGGGTTAGTGGGCAAAATGTTTTAATGGCAGTACATTGATAAAACCAGAGGATTCCGAAAAACTGGCAAAAATGAAAAAAACAAGAGGAGTAAACATCCTTAATATCACCAACATCATTGTGATAAAAACTTGCTGATGAATATACTTCTTTTGTTTGATTTGACTTTTTATTTCTTCCGTTATGTGATTCTTTATTATATTTTCAAATTGCAGACACTAAATGAAAAAAAGGTGAACGAATTACAAACGAAAATCGAGGAAATAACGGGAAAGTTTATCCAAATGTATAATGACATGATCAAAAATTTAGCAGACTCTTTTGATGAATTCAAGAAGAGTGTTTTACACGTATTTATTCTTTAATATAATGATATTGATGTACACACTTTTAACTAAGTTAGGACTGTAGTTATCGTTGAAATTTAGACAAGGCAAAACAAGCGTTTACGTCAATAGACATGTATTTGATAATACAATTTTCAAGAGCATATTCATATAGTCGCAATAAAATCAAACAGTCATACACGATGATACTTCAATGATTCGACAAACTAACGGTATAATGATAGCATTGCTTTGTATAAGGTAAATTATGACTACAACTGAAAGACGTAGAACTTGCTGGAAAATATAACAATATGTCACCAAACTCGTCTTATACTGAGGAAGCTGAAAACACGGCAGTCAATTGTCATTGAATCAACCAAGAGTTCCAAATGGTGAAGTTGAAATCATCCCTTCGTAAATTTTACGGACGCCATCACGAGTTGGTTGACCGTTACGGAATAACCGTTTCACAGATGATATCGGATATGTTCCTTATGTCGTAACTACAATACACTTCCTTTTTCACGAATGTGACCTACCGAATTAGACTATTTACCGGATTTGTAATAACATAAGCAACACGACGGATGCCACATGTGAAGCAGGATCTGCTTACCTTCCGGAGCACCTGAAATCACCCCCAGTTTTTGGTGGGGTTCGTGTTGCTTAGTCTTTAGTTTTCTATGCTGTGTCATTTGTACTAGTACTATAACTTTTTATTTTTGGCCATGGCGTTGTCAGTTTGTTTTCGATCTATGAGTTTGACTGTCCCTCTGGTATCTTTCGTTCCTCTTTCATTCATCACCAGATGTCACATAGCGTATATACATGTAGCTAATTTTGACTTTCCTCGTGTTCTTTGTCTATCCACACGTATTTTAATTACTGAACATCTTATTGACGGGACACTACCATATTGTCAAGCATTGAGTTTAATGTAAAAATCTAATCAGCTGTATTAAAAAGCAACTCAGATAATATATATACTAATTGCAGTTATCATACCTAAAGCTGTGCAATCAACTGCAGTGGTGGTTATTTATCCAAGACAAATATTCTCTTTGCAGTTTGAATGGGTTCAAAAGGCAAGATGCTTCTCGGTTTTATCAAAATCGTTTTACAAGCTTGTAGAACATATGCCTGTTGTAAACAAAGAACTCACAGATGAGTTCTATGAGATATCAAAAGAGTTTGTTAATGTGAGTTCGATAATTATCATATTTTAAGAATGATTAGGATGTTTATAACCTGTGTAAGTATTTTTTGTACTATGATTTAAATGGTTGTAGCTCTATCATACTAAACAAACGGCCCAAAAAAATTACGCGGTGTTAACTTATGTGCACTACATATAAACGCCACGTTTCCATATGAGAAGTAACAAATAATAGACCTTTGTTAACTAGCACTTTACCTTATGCGTTAACGCGATCTGTGTGCATTTTATGTTGTTATTATTAAATCAAACGTTTACTCTTGTATTGAAATTGACTCAAAGCAGTTGTTATCTGGATAAATTGATTCATCACATCACATAATCTCTGTATAGTGCTGAATCGGTGTATATCAGATAGATTATCACACATTTTATACTTATATATACGTTTTTGCATGGCCAATAATAACCGGAAGTTAAAGTTGGTTATTTGCCCTCGGGGCCAATATCGATATCAGCCCTCAAAATCCATATCGAGCCCCCGAATATGACTTCCGGTAACCTGTCAATCAAACACTTTTTGTAAACAAGATGTCATCTGAAGCAGCTAGACAACCAGGGTTTCTTCAAGTATCAAATAATGATGCAAGTAAATTCATACAAGAACTGAAAAATAAGAACACAATGAAAAAACAATGCAGTCTTTAAAACAATAGAAAGTTATGAAAAAAATGTGAAAATCAACAGCGGGAATAGTTATTGGTCCGCCATTACTGGACATCACAAAAGTTCCCGTAAAATGTTGACGTCATAATAGAAAATATATGACGCCACAATTGAAAAATGATTGCTGTATGACATCGAAAGTTCAAGCGGAACAGATTCTTGGGTTTCCAAATAGCGTTAGGTGTATTCTTCCTCAGCATTAATAGGAAATGTAAATAAAGGCAACAGTAGTATACCGCTGTTCGAAATTCATAAATCGATTGAGAAAAAAAAACAAATCTGGGTTACAAACTAAAACTGAGGGAAACATATCAAATATAAGAGGAGAACTACGACACAACAGAAACACAACATTAAAATGTAAAACACACAGAAACGAACTATAATATAACAATGGCCATTTTCCTAACTTGGTACAGGACATTTTTAGAAAAAATGGTGGGTTGAACCTGGTTTTGTGGCTAGCCAAACCTCTCGCTTGTATGGCAATGTTAAATATAACATTAAAATGACAACATTACATGACAACATTACATGACAGGACTACAATACAAATAAATGGGAGAACATAAAGGACAGAGAAACATACGAATAATAGCTAACAAAAGGTACCAGGTTTAAAATTTAATACGCAAGACGCGCGTTTCGTCCACAGCTTGAAAATATGTGATAAATAGATTATTACATGTAATTTTCCATATTGGCCCTGGTATCAGCCCAAGACTCCAATATCAAGCCAGAGGGCTTGATATGAGTCATGGGATGATACTAGGGCCAATATGGAAAATTACATGTAATAATCTATAAATATACTTTAAGTTGACAAATAGTAAAATGAATACCGATAACTGCATTATTTTACAATTGTTTTGTAATGCATGTCTTACAAATGTAGATAATGTTTTTCTGTTGTTTCTGAGAATATGTCAAAATTATCACCAACATCATTGTTACAAAGGCGTGCTACTGGAGATAATGCTGATAATGTTAATCTGTTATTTTTGAGGATATGTCGTACATATCACCAACATCAATATGAGGAAGGCGTGCTTCTGGAGATAATGTTGATATGTTACTTGATTTTTTAATTATCATCTATAACGTATGTCGTTCTTTAAGACACTAATGAAATAATGCATTTTTTTAATTTGCAGAAGCAGACTTTTAATGAAAAAAGAATGAACGAATTGAAAAAGAAAATGTCCAAGCAAAGGCGTCAATGCATTTCCGAAGATTTCATTTTGTATTATGAGCAATTTAAGGAGGATTTATTACAGGTATTTATTCGATAATATTACTCGATCAATATACACACGTTTGAATGTGTTAAAACCGCAATTAATGATTGAATTTAGATCAAGCAAAACACATGTCAATGTAATTTGACTTACCTTATTGATTTAATGCAAACGACCAATACCAATCAAAAAAAAAACGAAAAAGCACCAAGAGACATACCACAGTATACAAAACACAACATTATATACTAAAAACTTAGCAACACGATGCCCAACAAAAACCAAAGGAGATCGGAGGTGCTCCGAGCATATATAAAGATCCTATACCTCTGGTGGTACCAATCGTGAAGCTTATGTTAATTAGTAGGTCTTATTCAAACAAAAAAATAGTGGAATTGTTAATACACGATTGGGACGTATCCGTCGTAATCTGTAAATCAGATATTTCATTATGGTCAACCAGCTTTGATGACGTCTGTCGAACTTTCGAAAAGATTTCACCTTCACAACTTAGAAATTTTGGTTTAATAGCGTCCTTATAAGCAGCAATACTTTATCGAAATATTCATAATAGAAAATGAAAGCTCTTGAATATCAAATTTGTAGATACATTCTACATATGCTGGAATGTTGCCACATAGAAACGGGTAGAAAGATCATAATTAAAAGCTAAAATCATCTTTTTTATCGTAAAGATTTGATTTTAATCGACCCTCAGGGTCAATTTCTAATATAAGTCAAGATACGAGCCAGACTTCAGTGTATTTGTCGAATGATTTATTTTAAGTTCGGTGTGATAGATTTGTTTAGTATAGTCACCAAACATTGCATTATTTAGTGCGATGACATCATGTAATTAGCGGAACGTATAGTTTAAGAATTATATCAGTTTCTTTTCATTCTTCATGAGATACTCTTGTATGAATTTAGCCTTAACAAGTCGGCCAGAAGAGGAGCACGGTTGATTCCATTGGGAATGTAAATTATTTCTTATCAAAGCAAGTCCTCCAAACGTTTCAGATATTTTGTTAATCAACTACTCAATTATTTTGATAACATCAGTTTCAGAAAATAACTTGTTTGAATCATAGTGATTGTAACAAAGTAAGATTAACTCAGCTGTAGGACAAGATAAGTGTATCTTTATTTGTCATTGTTTTTATGAAAAAAAGCATTACCAATTATTTGACCATACTTTTGATACTATTGCCAGAGTAAAAGATCTATATTTTGTGTAGTACAAACATATGTTTTCAGAATTAAGGTATTCAGTACGGACTCACACCGAGTTGAATAGTCTTAACTGTTCAGGTCAGTTCAGGTCTATAAAAATAACCAAATTATTCAGATTCTTTAAAATCAAACGGAGATGATATTTGTACTAATTGTTTGTATAAGAATTAAAGCTATAAAAGCAGTAGTAGTTGTGGTTAAAGTAGAACAACATTTTTTATTGCAGTTCATGAAAAAACAAAAGGAAAACTATTACGTGGACGAAAATAGGGCAAACTACTTCATGGTCATAAACAAGGCAAAATACTTCACGGATGTGTCAACATCTTTTACAGCGCTAATCAGTAGTATGGAGATTAAGCCTTCAGAAAAACAAGGAAAAGACTTAAATAAGATATCAAAAGAATTCGTGGATGTGAGTTCGATAACAAATATATCTTCTTACATGTTTTAATCAATAGTATGAAATATGGGCACCCGTATTATACCGCTGTTCAATAGTCATAAAGCGACTAAGCGAAAAAAAATTCCGGGTTACAAACTTTTGTAAATTTTTTTTAGTTTATGTGTGTGATTGATAGTGTTAGTTTTTGTTCCATTTTTTCGTTTATAAACCAAGGCGATGTTCTTTGATTCCACGGAAACACCTATTCTCCAAAAACCAGAGTACAATAATTTTTACAACTACTTGTTATCGTACGGCATTCACCGTTGATAAGGCATTAAAGGTTCCAATTTGACAACTTATGAAATATTTCAACAATAAAAACCAAGGGGTTTCATTTGTGATGAAAGCTGAAAAAACCAACAAAAAAAACCCTAAAATTATGGCAGACAACATTCCATGTCGGTTTTTTAAAAATTTTCGGATTAATCCACTGCGGTAATTTTAGTATAATTTAATGTAACAGTAATCTTTAATGATATCAGTACTGAACATATTACAAAACATATTACAAAAAGACAAAAAACACAACATATCTTTATAAGTGTACAATGAAAGCTTTTCCGATGCGAAATTAACATTTTACGTCTTGCTTAAGCAGCCTTTTCTATCAGTCATTCAATCATTCACGAACGCGAAAGCGAAATTAACTGAAACATACTTAAAATAAACGCAATGTTTACGTTTCCTTAATTTCAAACAATTGATGGATTAGTTGAAATTATCCCTTCGACAGTTTTACGAAAGTAATAACGAGTTGGTTGACAACCTTTTTTTGTCTTGGGGTTAGGTATGAGAATCAGAACTTGAACCAATATTAGAAAAGATAATTTTTTGATTTTCAAAGATGTAACATATGACATTCCTGATAAGAGTTTCAGACAAATTATAAAAACTTGTAAGATTGGTAAAGTTATAAGGATATGAGACCAAATAATACATGTACAATTGATGTGGATACTTAAATGCTGCTTCTAACAAGTGACACTTTTGATCTATTTTGACTATTTTCGCAAGGGTTAAGAAACATACATACTATTTTTCTGTACTTATCCAATCTTTAAAACTTCATTCAAACCAAACATATGTTCCTTTGAGCAGAAACAATAATTTCCAATCCATTGTATCATGGATAGCCAGGAATAATGCACAAAATTATATTCATAGGAAATGAAAACAATAGAATTTCTAAACAAAAAGTACATGGCTGCGATTCTTTTAAAATTGCTTTATAATAAAAAAATAATTGCTGGGTAGAATCCTTTGAACAATCTTAAAAAAGAGATTTTGTAAAATCTGTTGATAATAATTGCATGGCGTAAACAGTACTAGTAGTCTTATCTTCAACCTGCATATTTAAATCTTTTACCAATTTAGTGAGGAAAGATGCTCCTTCATCCAAGCATATCTTGGATGTGCAGGATGAAGGTCATTCTTAGAATATGAGCCTGAGGCTCGAAAGTAATGAATTAGCTTAACTTCTCTATGAGGGGTGAAGCTTACATGTAATATCTCTGTTTAAAGAAACAAACTATAACCACCAGACCATAGATGGCCAGTGACCTTGACCCTAGTATATAAGCACCTGTTCCATAATAACTTGTCATAATTTAAAGCAAGTTTGTGTCGACCATAAAACCCATTGGAAAAGGGTGGGTCTGACTGATAATCCCTAGGGTGCGATTTAATTACTTTCGAGCCTCAGGCTCATATTCTAAGAATGACCTTCATCCTGCACATCCAAGATATGCTTGGATGAAGGAACATTCTTATTCATATTTCGCCTTCGGTCTCAAGTAATGAATTAGCTTGTTTAAAGTGTAGACACAAACTAAAAACAATTTTTACATAAATGCCACATTTAATAAAGCATAAAAATCACAAAATCATCCAGTAATTACAACTGAAGAAAAGTGTTTTAGTACTGATATTATTCACTTCCCTGTTATTGAACTTATAAAAAGTTCTAGCACATGACCAGACTAAGCTGTTGCCAAAATGTCTTTAATAGAACATCCTAAAGCTATAGGCACTTATGAAGAGGTTCCTCTAAATGAGTGAACCTTAAAACGTCGGCTAAAATTAGAACTCTCTCTAACTATCTAAACTTTACGAAACGTTCCATAAAAAATAAACAGACTTAGGTGAATTCCTCACATATTTTGTACAAAAAACATAATAAATCATTGTCTTAACAACACAAAGTTTTGGTTTATCAAAACCCTTGAACACCTCATTAGGTAGACTAACTAACAGATCTAGTATTTTTCAAAAGCTCATGTATATGAAAAAATAAATTGCCTTGTCTCTGAATGAAAGACATAGAATGTAAATCTAGAGCTGATAAAGATTGTACTTTGGCAGCTGTAGTCAAGGCAAATAAAGACACAAGTATAAAAGACAGTCTTCAATGTTAAATCCTCCAATGAATATAAAGAACTTAAAAAAGTTAGCACTAAATTCACCTCCCAAGTGAAAGAGTATCTAACTCTTCAATTGCAGATTCAGGTTTAAGCAACCCTTCACATATAGTGAACAAACAAATTTAGTAACATCTACTTCTTAAAGGATCAAGTCTGTTTCAACATAGACCAAGTAAAATTTACATTGAACATGCTGAATACGAAAAGCTTCTGTTTTACAAAAAATTTCAATAATCAATAACATCCTTTTCAGATGGTGATAAGGAATTGGTTCTCCTTTGAACACACCAAATAATGAAATTTCTCAAAAAATATTGATAATGCTTGATCATAGATGCATGGTCTCCAAGATGAAGTGTAAACATATTTTGCAAATGATTCTGAAATCTTATATTTATAAGTGATTTCTGAATACAATACACATGTTTTTACCCTACCGCACAATCACCACTTCAGGTGTTGGTTCACTTATATTTTTACAATACACACAGTTAAATTTAGTCTCTACCTGAGGGGAAGGCATTCTTCAGTATGCAACATCGTTTCTAATTTTTATGCTTAGCAGTTTAACTGGCAAATAAATTAAAATGGTCTTAGCAAAGAAAACCAACTCTGAGCCGGCCAAAAAGAAATAATAAAAATAGCCTTCTGAACTTCACTAATAATTTTCTTTATAATTATCCCCAACAAGGAAAAAGATGGGAAAATATAAGGTCTTAATTCTGACCATGAAAAGTAAAAACATCTCTGAAAGGAGCTTTTTGGTCAAAAGACAGAGAAACAATTATCTACAGATTTGAAAATGAAAACGTGATAAAAACAAAACAAATATTTCTTCTTTCAATTGCCATTCCGTTGAATCTGTAAAATTTCTAGACATATGATAAGCATCAAAATTTTCTTTCCAGGAATATAATGAGCTGTGATAAAAATGTCCTTTCTTGAACACCAAGCCCAAATAATGAAATATTTGTAGTAAGTCTGTCAACTGACAAAGAGGTTATACCTCCTATTGCAGAATAAAAACTACTGAAAATGTAATTTCTGATTGTATAACAATTAACAAGACTCTTTGTGACTAAAAATCTCTCTCCAAAAGAAAAATATAGCCAACAATTCTAAGTAATCTATATGAAATGAGCCTACGTTCCGAGAAGCTCCATCTACCAACAGAAAATTTTTCTTCAAATTTGGATCCCAAATCCTTCTGATGAGGCATCTGGTCCAATCCAAAAACTTATTTGGATGGGCCTTATTAATTTTCAATTTCTGATTTCAAATTGTTAAAATTTCACCTATTGATGAAAATAATCACTGTAACAACTATTCAGTGCTTCAACATTATTTCTCGCCATGTTTCTGCAATGTAACATTCCCACAGATACCGCATTAAAAGCATGCGCAACAAGACCAATATATGATGCAAAACATCTATAATACAGTTACACAATTCTATTTTAGAAGAACTTCCCAAGGGAGATAATTTTACTATTTTCTCATCTGTCAGAAAAAACTTAAATAACTCAGTATCAATAATGAGACAAAGGAAAACAATGTATTTCCAAGGAATGAGGACCGACTTCTTAAAATTTATTCTGAAGCACAGTTTATCAAGCATTTGCACCATTTTTTCTGTATTCACAGTACAACTATCTAGATTCTGATCCATAATAATAGAATCATCAATGTAACTTTATCATGTATATACTTCAAGTGACATTTTTTCATAAAAATGCGTAGACAGGTTTAAAAGCCTTAGTAAAAACTCTTTATGCAGAAGCCAATCCAAAAACAAAGAACATACATATCATATAATGTCCTTTCCACATGAATCAGGAATTTTTGATATAATCATTATTGATATTAAAATATGCATCTGTGAGATCTATGGATGTTAGCTATATATATATAGATCATCATCCCTATAAATTACATCTAAACAAATGATAAATGATCCTTTTAAATAGCTCTCTTAGCTATCAATGTTAAGACTTCTGAAATTATTTCATCCTAATGTAAAGTGAAATGTATTTTATTCAAAAATGATGAACCTTGTGGCACAACATTAAAAATATTTTTATAACCATTTCTTATTAAAACGAATATCAATAGATCATTAGTAATATTTTCCAATTCATAATATTTAAGTTATCTACTGTATATAGGAACTGGTTGAGAATTGTGACCTCTTTGAGATTCTCTGTTCCCTGTTGGGAAACCTCTCCCTCTCAATGACGGGAATTGCCATACGCCCTGTTGACCGACAGAACCTCCGCAGTTAAAAGACTGATATTGCCTTTCCCATAACTGCTGGGAGTAAAATAATTGCTAGACCTGGAACCTCTTCCAAGGAATCTAGGATTTGCTTAAGAATCTTGGTATAATCACCAAGTTTGCTTCATGCAATCATAACTAAAAACGTGATAAATCAACTATCACATCAGAATTACAAATCGGTTTTATCATCTAGATATTTCTGAGCATCTCCTATGCGTTTAACCAGAAACCCATGGTCAAACAAATAGAATTTGACAATAAATACCTTGT